CCCGGAATAACGATATAAACATCCGACTTTCCTGAGGTGTACTAGCACATCATGCGAAACCTTGCTAGGCTCTTATTATATTTTATCCCCGGTTTTATGTCTCTTCATTTCATAATCCTTCCCCTTCCTGCGCACGGCCCTGTTTCTTCGAGGTGGTCTAAGTGGCTGATTTTTTTCGAGATAAAAATAAAAAAAAAGACATCTTTCGCAACTATGGCAACTAAGTATGCTTGCTAGTGTAGCAATGGGGAAACCTATTTAAAATAAGCCATAAATCAACAAATACAACGAAAACCGAATGAGCAGACAGTTAGGTCCCAAAGCAAAATTTTAATAAAACAAACCTCCGATCTATTACAGCACTGTGGACGATATTTCAGGGTGGTTCGCTACCGGTTCTAATCCTACAGTAACCTTGCTGGTTCTAATCCTACAGTAATCACCAAGAGCGCCCGTCACGGCAGATCCGTGAAAAGCTAATAAAAGAAAGGTGCACGCTGCATTAAGGCAGATACATAACAAAAAATGGCCCCGGGTGACTGATCCTGGAGTACATGGGCCCCTTAGCACGTCGCGTTCAGATGTGAAGATGACTGGCGTCTGATTCCTCCCCCTTCGCCCCGCCCCGCACCCCTCCCAATCAATACTTATTCGCAAAACAGCGCTCCATTTACGACAATGCTCGGGTGATCAGTATGAATTTCTCAAATTCACGGTTTACAGTATCCTCGAATAACAGAGACTTTCTAAGATGCTACGGTATCCCGACGCACCCCTAATTCGGACCAATCACATTTTTCGTACGAGAAAACTACAGCAATCCACACGAGGCGGTTACAGTAACACCCACCTCAGCAACCTGAACATTCTGTTTCGAGCATTTTTCTGTTATTACCTCCTCCTCCTCCTCCTCCTCTTCCTCCCACAGCTTTCCCGATTTTTCCTCACCCCTTCCCAATATTTACAGTGCAGTGCTACTTGTGCAAAAAAACAAAATCTATTACAATAACAAATAGTGATATTTGCATGCACAGACCTGCAAATCGTGGGCATCTGGCTGTTGCACATCCGCAGGGCATTCCGTCTCATCAGCATTTTGCTGCTGCTGCTGCTGCTGCTGTTGCTGTTGCTCACGCTCTTCATTTTCCGCATCATCAACAGATTCTTGATTGTGATTTTGTTGCCCCTGCTCTTGTAGTATATCATCATCAGCAGCAGCAACACAATCCTGATCAAGCAGTGAATCATTATCACCAACACGTCCTTCGTCAATCAGTTCGAAGCTACCAGTTGATTCCGCATCGTTCACAGCTTCCAGAACATCTGCATCCCTGTCCACCAGATTCCCGCTGTCTTGCTGTTGCTGTTGTTGTTGTTCCTGATTAGCACTAGTAAAATTCGAACGATGCACCATGGAAACTGCCGAGCATTCAGCGTCTGAACTTGCCACAAAGTTGATCTTTTCAATAGCTGGTAGACGA